ACCAGTATTTACATTCTATACACAAAGAATTAAATAATAAATATGAACAAGAAAAAAGAGGTGTCCATATATTTGATATTCTACACAGAAACTTTCTCATATCTGACATCCAAGCAACGGCCTAATATTTTCCGGTCACATAAATATCATTGGTCTATAAAAACCAAAATATGCATTTTACCATTTTGCTGCTCCAGAGTTCGTCAAGCAACCCGAGGGTCATGCTAAAGGAAACGCCAGCTGGTTAAAGATGTGAGAAAATATAGAGAAAAGGATTTGGGCTACGACGCAGCTTCCCAATAACTTTAATTAAAATATAAGTATATAAAGAAAGGCCATGATAATAAAACTACTGTCTTACTTGCATAAGTATCAAATCACACCAAGCTCGCTTCCTTAGACACTGACCGCTCTTGCATCAACTACAGTAAAACAAAAGGTGAACAAAAACTAAACTCCTACCGACTGACATATAATACATTATAAAGTACTTTGGCCATTTTAGTAATAAGTATTTTGCGAATATTGGTGTCTATCCGACCTGACGAAGAACACAGGATATGATCTCAGTTTATGCATATGGCATCACACACAACTATATCTTAATATCATTTCATTATCATATCACACACACACAACTATATCTTAATATCATTTCATAATCATATTCTTATGTATACAGAGGGTTGATTATGTTAACGTTATATTAAAACGATTTCAAAAAAGTAAATTAAATCAGCAAGTCACGTGTCACGTGGGACGCACAGTTGATATAACGTCCTGGTGGAACAGCATGTATTGAAAGTACATTTTGGCATACTTCTTGTTTCTTAGGTAGTGTGATGCTAATGAAGGGTATGTAACAGCCTTTTCCTATGAAAAATAATCATACACTCAGATCATAAACATTTGTTCAGATTGCGGATTTAGAATTTCTGAAGACAAGAGTACTGGCACTGGAAAGCAAAGGAATATGATTAAGTTGTAGCACCAGGACCACGCAGAAAGAGGTCTGTAAGAAGTTGTACCTCAGCCATGGTAAACAAAGTAGGGTGTAGTATAACAGGTGAGAACACATGAACACTAAAATCAATGGCAAAATCCGTCCACGTGCCCCAAGCGACAGTACTCAACATAACCAAGAAAGATATCGGTCTAGAAACGCGGACAACTAGATATGGGTTCAACAAGATAAAGCTTACAGTCATAGCTTTTGTTCAACTAGCGCATACCTCATGCAGCTGGAGAATTAAACGAGTATTCATGCAATTCGATACAAATAGATACCGGTCAAGCTGAGATCCCATTGCAGCGCCTCTGGATTTCTGTGTTTTTGACCTGTTCGTACGGAAAATAGAGGTCCTCGTACACTAAATGCATATGGACAGCACCCAGAAGGAAGGGTGCGCTTTGAATACGACAGTCTTACGAGTGAGCCTTTTGCAATGGAAAATACGTTGCAGGACTATTGTCGAGAGCACGATAGTCAGATAGAGCATGACCAGACGTGGCAACATGGATTGTAACGACGTGATGAAACTGTAAAATCGTTTTGATATAACGTAAGGAACCTCTGTGTAATGAGATAAACTTTATTCAAAGTTAGATATACAATAATATAAAGTAGTTTTCCGATGTATAAGCGATAGTAATCGAAGTTCGATCCCTTACTGAATATAAGACTGCATTTTGCTTACCGCGGCTGGGGTACAAATTTTTGCAGATATCTTTCTGGATGTGTTGGTGCCCCAAGTTGAACCATATCCATTTGTTTTCGAATGTCATTAAGTATTAATTAAGGGACATCTCCGTTTTGTAATTCCAAATTCTCGATCTGAAGACGTCTTTATAAACTGTATGAATATTTTGCGTGGAAAGGGTCGTTACATACACCTCCTAAAAGCGATCACTTTCAATGGCATCACACTACCTATAAAACGCCCAACAGTGTGAAAAATGTAGTTCTGAAAGATACCATCCAACCGTAAATTTATATCGGCTGTGGGTGTCATATGACTGACTGATTTGCATATTCAAAATCATTTTGATGTGATGTACTGTATAAATCCACATTCGAGAAAGAGCTTAAGTCTCAAATGTTTATAGATTATGGACAAATTGAGAATAATAATAATTTGTTTGTTATTAAATGTAGAGTTTGTTTGTTTGTTTTGTAGTTAAGCCCCAAGAGCTATCTGTGCTCTACCCACCGCGAGTATCTAAACCCAATTTTTAGCGTTAAAGCCCTAAGACTAATCGCTGAGACACCGGGGAGAACTTTAACCTGTTTCTAACACCAATTTTTCCGATAATTTATTGACTAATTTGTCCACTTTTGTGAATTATTTTTTCAATAGTAAAAAAAGACAAAAATTCGAGGCGAAGTTTCGTAACACTTTATTTAAAGACATTTCTGTAAATCAACTTATGGTGTGAATCATTATGTGATGTAAAATGGTTGATATTGTGAAACACTCTTAAAATGCTCTTTTACGCAAATGATATTTTAGATTACTGTAATTACATCTAACTCTGCAAACAATGACAACTCGGGTCAAAAGGACATTGACTGATAAGCAGTGTTCTCTAGGACCTAAACCTAACACAGCTGGAAATACACGAAGTCCAAACAAAAGGGCTCTGGCCTGTTGATCACTTTCATGTGTCTAATGATATGATCACCTTTACTGAAAACTGTTACTGATTTAATACTCGTTCTAGGACTCAGTTCTGTAATTTGTGTCGCTGTATCATTTATTCTGTGAAAGCACGAAAAGCATAATGTAATTGGCTATTATATTTCATTCTGAATACCACAACTGTTCATCTTCGCTGTCAACAGGACGTAAATCACTGGCATTATTCGTTCCTCCACTAACAAATGAGAATATGGAGGCATATTTTGAGTACAAGTTTTCATACTGAATGAACCTTGAAGCAGTTGTAGTATTACATATTTTTCAAAAGCGTAAACGTGAAATTATTTAATACGGATGAAACAAAACAGTAAATGACCAAACTTTATTTGAATGCAAACCTCAACAAATTATTTTATCTCTTTGTACGTTATTTACAGACGTGTTATCCTATAAAGCAAGTTATATTTATTGAAGTATATTGGTGTACAGGATGCTACATTTTTCTCAATCTTAGATAAGGTTTTATATACACCTCTAAACCCAATAAAGTTCCTTATTTATTTATCCATTACTTGACATTTTACACTCCTTTGTGTTTATAAAGTTTAATTTTAGTCGTCAAGAGACTAATTTTACTCCAACCTTGAATATTTATCAGTAGAAGAATTTACATGCAGTTAAAAACAGGAAGTGTGTATAACGTCCCTCACTTCACACCAACCAACACTATACGACTTCACACGACACCATAAAGATTTTTCCCAAACTTGTTCCATTATTGACAAGGGCAGGGGATATTATCAATAAACGACAATGCTCTTAGACAAAAACGGAACAATGTAAAACATGTAGAATGAATTCGAGCATAAGCTGTGGAAACAAACCCTACCATACAAAGATGGAGTCTGCTTTCCTGCAAACGTTCTTGTCAACCTTAATTAAGGTTGTTAGATACAGTACATAAAAGACCGGATAAAAGATAATTCCTAATTATATTTTTTTAATAATGGCGCACTAAGTCTAAATCATTTTATAACTCCATGTTTATTTCTCAAAATCTTCATTTTTTTTACCTCTTTCGGTTTATGCATTTACGTGTTATGTGTCCGACAGCAGATTCTTGAATTGCTTATATTTAGGCTTAGGATGCTGAACTGAATTTTATGGTAACTAAAGATATGAAACTTTTGTTAATGAATGAATCACAACAGGATTTGAGTAAATTTTATGATACAACCTTCTTATTAATGTGCCCCCCAGTGGCACAGCGGTATGTCTGCAGACTTATAACGCTAGAATCCGGGTTTCGATACCCGTGGTGGGCAGAGCACAGATAGCCTATTGTGTAGCTTTGTGCTTAATGACAAACTAACTAACTAATCTTATTAATGTTGAGAAGTCATGTATATCAAAAACAGCCAATGTCATTGAACAACAAAATTCTAAGTTTAACTTAACATAATATTAACCATTTCATGTGAATTTTATTTTATTTTCTAGTTAATAGATAACAGCGACCACGTGTACGCTGAGGCAACTTTCAAAAACATTTAAACTTAAGAATGATGTAAAATACAATTATGACGTAATGTGTCACGACAAGGGCGTTAACCAAACAGATATTTTATTAAAATATACGTTATTGGTGTTTTGGCAGAAAGCTACACAATGAATTATCTTTGTTCTGTTCACCTCGGGAATCAAACTCCAGGTTTTAACGTCGTAAGTCTGGTGACTTCGTGCTGACCCATCAAGGACCAGTATTATATAAATTGTTTTGCTAGATAAATCGCTTGCACCAACTTACTTTAATCATAATATGTAATTTTTTTACTCTTTTTCCCAATCAAAGATTTAAAAGGTCTCAAGAAATTAAAATTTTGCAATTATGGTGATTCTAACATCTCATATAATATATATGTGATATATTTGTTATCAAATGAGCATTTCTAACAATTAATTTCAACAGAAAAAATGTAAGAAAATAAAAGCAAGATGTATATCTTTTGTATTTGCCCTCTGGTTTCTCGGCGGTAAGTCTGAGGACTGATAGCTCTAAAAATATGATTTCAATACATGCGGTGGGCGTAGCACAAACCGTTGTGTAGCTTTAGGCTTCATAATTAACAACAATAAATATTTTGTGTTTCCTTTAAAGCTTTGGTTCAAAAATCATTAATTAATCTTATTTTAACATAAGAATAACTAAAACCAAATATTATTTTATATACACCTAATCAGACATTTGAAAGCTTCTTAGTAGCTAGCTAATGGGGGATATATATATTCTTCTGTAATATCCTTTCCTTTTTGTGATACATTAAGACTTTTTCTAATTTGTTTATATTTTCCTATTTGCAGTATTCGTTGCGAACGCATTACTTCCTTCTGTAAGCACCCAACAGCCGAACCTGTGGTCGGAAAAAGAATTGTGGCAGCATGAAGAACCATTGAGAAAAATCTTCAACAGTCTCAAGAGCCGCTCTCAGAATCAGCCTTCTTTTTCTGACATCACCATCACAAATGTGACGACACAAGTTGGACAGACTGTATTCTTGCACTGCTTTTTCGAGGCATTTGGGGACAAAACGGTAGGAACTCAATTATTAGTTATTTGACTGACCAATAGTCAGAAATTGGAAACCATTTTCATTATAATGAAGTGTTTCACTGCCATGCGAAAGGTATTGCGAAACATTTATGAAATCTTAACACCTTCATCATTGTGATTGAAATAAACAATCCAACTTCAACTTGCAAATATAGTTATAAGCTACCGAAACTAATTTTATTTCTCGCTTTCATAACTTATAACAACGAAACGAAATCCGTAATAAAGTTTTCAGAAATGGATATAAAACTGAATTTAAATGACGAATATCTACTTCCTTATCCTATTTTCGTGTAGCCTGAATTAAAAACACAGAAATTACCAGTTCATTATTTTTACTTTTTGTAATTAAAACTCGAATTTTTTTATATTCATAAACCTTAAACGCTGCAGTCTATTTCTTATAAATAATTTTGACATTACGATGAGTTCTCATGCCACATCCTCATTTATAGGTCCATCGTTATGGTTTACATGATGTATTCCGTTTACTTATTTTACGTAACGTATCTTCATCAGTACTCTTATTCTATGCATTAAGTATATATATAGGTACACAACGTATCTGTGTTGTCGAAGAAATAATACTTGGCTAGTAAATACGCAATATAAGAAAGACGTTATCTTATGCTTCTGTTGGATATTTCAACAGAAGGGAATTGAATTTTTGCTAACTTTACTGGGATTAAAATTGTTATTTTAGGCAAATAAATAATTTTGCGTATGTAATGGTATTCAATCTAAACTTCAATCAACACTCAGTGACTCGGCGTAAGTCTGCGAGCTTATAACGCTAAATATCAGGGTTCTATACCAGCGAGGGGCAGAGCACAGCTATTACAACAAACAAACAAATAAATCGCAATTTTGAAATTTCGTTTAGTAAATAATACAAAATAGAACTGCAGAAGAAAAAATACATTCTGACGAAGCTAAAGGAGCACAAAATTAAAATCAGTGTAAGAAGGTCCTGAGTAACGATGAATTGTGAAATGAGTGTAGAAAATTCCCTTCCCTTACTGTGAACTATACAGTCAATGTAAGAGAATCATTTCCCTTACTGTGAACTATGAAATCAGTGTACGAAGATCCTTTCTGTTACAGAATGAGTATCACTAACAGACTTGCTATTTGATGGAATGTTGACTGTTACTTGTTCTGTTAGGACTTCATACTATACCACTTATTACTTATTGACTGTTACGTATTACAATTTCGAAAGGTCTGAAGCTGAGTTAACTTGTACTTTGGACTTAGTAATTAAATGTATGCCGATATATATCCAATTTATGATATTTGCCAACAAGATTAATACACATAGTTTTCTTTCTTTAATACAAATATGTTTTAATATACAAACAATAACACAATTTACAATAACAGTTATTACAAATAGTTTTACAAACTTACAAGCATTATAAAGTATTCTTTCTAGTCTGGAAC